CCCCAAAACCCCAAAACCCCAAAACCCCAAAACCCCAAAACCCCAAAACCCCTTCAAGAGTTCGATGTATTGAACTAGATTAAAGATGTAAGTTTTCAGCATCTTTCAAGCTCATCTTTCTAGTTCTTTGCAGCAGAATAGACTTTGCAGAATGATCTAACCCTTTCAGTATCATTTGGTGTTGGGATAGGTACTCTGTCAACCTTCCAAATAGATTCACAGTATTCTTCTATAGTTCTATCAGAGGAGAATTTGGCTGATCTGGAAACACCAAGGATGGACATCATGTTCCACTTCTTCTGATCCCTATATGTATCATCAACCTTATTCTGTGCTTTGACATAGGAGTCAAAGTCTTCAGTGACAAGATAGTAATCTTTTCCTTCCATCAAGTTATGAATAATCGGATAAATGATAGAAACATCTCCGAAAGTTCCTGATAGAATTGAGTCGAAAACTCTTTGTAGTCTTCTGTCTATAGGTTTATGCTCTCCAGAGAAGAGTCTGTTCCTAAGGTCGTTGACTTCTTCAACTCTTGCTCCGAAGATGAACATGTTTTCCTCACCGACTTCTTCTGAAATTTCAACATTTGCTCCATCCATGGTACCAATGATGAGGCATCCGTTCATCACGAACTTCATATTACTTGTTCCACTAGCTTCCATACCTGCAGTAGAAATATGCTGGCTAAGCTCAGATGCAGGAATTAAGGTCTGGGCTGCGGATACTCAGTAATTTGGATAAAAGATCACCTTGAGAGTATCACCAATGTCTTTGTCGTTATTGACGATATCCCCTACACCATTGACTAGTTTGATGATAGCCTTAGCGTTGTGGTACCCAGGAGCTGCCTTTCCACCAATGATCACAACTCTGGGGACAACCTTCTCTCTATCGGCTGGGGACATATCTTTGATAGTCAGATATCTGTGAATAACATAGAGAATATTCATGAGTTGTCTCTTGTACTCATGGATCCTTTTGATCTGGACATCATATAGAGCATTGATGGGGATCTTAACTCCTACCACTTCCTCGATCTTAGCAGCAAGTTTCTCCTTGTTTTGTTTCTTGATGTCTATCCATTTTTGAATAAATTCTTCATCTTCAGCAAAATTTTCCAGGTATTCTACTCTTTCAAGTTCACCGATCCATTCTGAATCGTCAAGAGCCTCAGTGATAAGTGCAGAGAGTTTAGGATTTGCACAGTGAATCCACCTCCTAGGAGTGACTCCATTGGTTTTGTTCTCAATTTTGTTTGGAAAGTACTCATGGAATCTCTTGAAAATAGTCTCTTGGATTAGTTTTGTATGAAGTTCAGCCACTCCATTGACTTTATGACTGCATAGAATGCATAAGTTAGCCATCCTAACCTTTTTGTCGTCTCCTTCAGCGATGAGAGACATCTCTTGCATTCTTTGGTAATCTCCTGGATATTTCTTGGCAACTTCATCCATGAAGAAGTGGTTGATCAGGTAGATCAGCTCCATGTGTCTTGGAAGTAGATGATTAATCAAACCAACACTCCATGTTTCCAAGGCTTCAGGAAGAACCGTGTGATTTGTATAAGAGAATGAGCTATGAAGGATCTTCCAAGCCTCTCCCCAGTCTAGCTTCTCTTCATCAATCAGGATCCTCAAAAACTCCACTGCTGCGATAGCTGGATGAGTATCGTTAAGCTGGAGGGCAGCTTTATTTGGAAAATCTTTCCAGTCTGAGTTATTCTTCTTGAACCTTCTGATAACATCTCTTACCGTTGCTGAACAGAAGAAGTATTGTTGCTTTAGTCTAAGCTCTTTACCTTCTTCAGAGTTATCATTCGGGTAGAGGACTGAGGTGATATATTCAGCTCTTTGTTTGGATTCGACTGATGAAAGATAATCACCTTTATTAAAAGATTGGAAATCAAACTCTCTTGCTGGTAGAGATTTCCAAAGTCTCAAGTTATTACAATTGAAGGTATTATATCCAGGGACAGGGGTATCATATGCCTTGGCCATGACAATTTCTCCTCCCTTCCATTGAGCTCTTTCTACACCGTCTTCTTCGTATTTTTCAGTGTATCCGTAAAATCTGATTGGATAGATGACCTCTGGTCTCTCGATTTCCCATGGGTTTCCACCACTGAGCCAAAAATCTGGAATTTCGCATTGATATCCATCTCTGATGACTTGTTTAAATATTCCGTAGTCATATCTAATTCCATATCCCCAGGCTGGGACTTCAAGAGTTGCTAGTGAGTCTAGGAAGCAGGCTGCAAGGCGGCCAAGACCCCCATTTCCGAGGGCTGGGTCTACCTCTTCATCATAGAGGCGTTCAAGATCATACCCAATGTCCATGAGAGCTTCCCTGTAGTTCTTTTCCATATTGATATTGTTCAGGGTGTTCTGCATCAAACGGCCGAGCAAGAACTCAAGACTAAGATAATAGACTCTTTTCACATTGTGTGTAGTGAAGTATTGGTTAGTGTCATTCCATGACTCTAATAGTCTATCTCTGAGCGAGAACGCAGTTGCTTGGTAACACCCAAAATCTGAGAAGTTGAACCTAGTCATAGCCAAAGTATATTCAACATGGTTCACGATCGAACGCTGGATGGATTTTTGATCAATCCCTTGATATGTCTGCATCAAGCTCCATATCTTTTGAGCCTTGTCTTCGTTGTGATAGATGAACTCAGGCCTAAGGAGTGGGGAGGAGCCCCCATCTTGCATCAAAAACTTAGAGTTCTTCCTCTTGATCGGTCTCTTTTTGTCTGTATCTTTTTCTTCTTCATTAACTTTATCCATATCTAAATTAGTATAAAGATATGTCACCAGGAAAGACTGGTGAAACAGAAGAATTTGACCAAGAAGGATTCAATTCCAGAGCTAATTTTTCCACGATTTTGGCCGTAGAGGAGAGCTAAAGGCTAAAAGTTACCAATTTTGATTTCCTCCTTCTGTTCAGGATGGGGCTCTTTGAGTTCTATAGCAAAGAATCAGGAAGGATCCTCAGGGATTGGTTTTATGCTAAAACACTCACCTAATTCAGGATCTGGTACAGGAGTTCCAATGGTCACTTCGTCCTTAGTAACTTCATATTTAGGCTGAGAGGTTGGCTCAGCTGGTTTCTGTTGTGCTGCTGATTTCTTGCTCTTCTTCTTTGCCATTTTGCTGCTAAGTATATACTTTTCAAAAATATTGTTCCCAAATGGGGTTTTGGGGTTTTGGGGTTTTGGGGTTTTGGGG